AGGCAGGCAGCCCCTAGAAGCTGGAAAGGCAAGGAAATGGATTCTCCCCGACAAGCTCCAGAAGGAACACAGCCCCGCCTGACCCACTGTAGATGTCTGACCTCCAGAACTGTAAGATAATGAATTCATGCTGTTTTAACTCATGAAGTTTGTGGTAGTTTGTTCCAGCAGCAATAGGTAAATGAAACATCAAGTGACTTCAGGTTGTAGTCTTCTCTGCTACATTTGATGTCTATAAACTGAGGAAGGGCATTAAAAAAATTAAAATGCTGAAACGTGACTAAAAACAAGATGCTAAAGATAATGTGTTAAAATAAATCATTAGTTTCCTTTAATTCCGTGGCTAGTGGAGTGGTTGTGAATTGTAATCACTGGCTTCCAATCTGTACTTGCCTTTTGTTTCCTTGTTATGAACTCTCTCTCTCTCTCTCTCTCTCTTACACACACACACACACACACTTAAAACAGGAAAAAGAAAAGTTCTGTAGTAGATCTGAGGTCCACTATGATCCCCTGCTTCTCCTCAACTGACATCTCCTTGTAAGGACCCCCCAGTCTCCATGTAGACCCATCTCCCCTCCCCATCTCCTAGTTCCCCAGCCATCACAGAGCTTTTTGATCTTCTTCAAGGCAGTTGTTCCCCAGACTCTAGTCTACTTTGAAGAAGGGGTCATGAAGGGACCATCTTAGAAATTACACAGCAGGTAATGCTTACTAATGCCTGTCAAGATCGGTCTCTGGCTCACTGCAGGGCCCAAGTGGCAGGATAGTTCAGAATAAGGGCGTTGCTCAAAGAGCTGCAGTGTGGCTTTGAACCTGTGTGCTACTCTATCCTAGCACGTCGGGGAAAGATGGCGGCCTGGCAGGCTAAAGCTGTTTAGTTCCATTTATGAGAACAGATGGGAAGTTGTTTTCAATGTCTAAGTGGTAATAGGGACAATGGCATTAACCCCTTGAAGGCCATGGAAGGAAGATGAAGCACTGTTGCCTGGAGCTCAACAAAGAAGCCCTGACAGCAGCCTGGCAGTGGGCAGGAGCCTGTGCTTGGCTGGGACAGATCTGGCCCAGAGATCAGATATGACAGACCTCTACACCATTTCTCTACAGTGATACAACCTCTGGTCAAGCGAGCTGAAGGGTTACGTGAAGTGCCTCAAGGCACCAAGAGGGTAGAGTATCTGATCAGAGTTTTCTAACAGAAAGATCGTATCAACAGGACACGCTGGAGTTTTGAGTTATGCAGGAACAGCACTGATGACCCAATGGGTTCAGACTGACTCTGTCCTCTCTCCTCCCCCAGTTCTCCCAACACGTAACATTATCACAGAGAAGTATGTATAGGAATGAGGGGTAAAAGCACTCTGCTTTCTCTTTGAGTGTTTTCCTGAATTTCAAAGAGAAAGGAGCTTACCCCTTGAACAACCCAGCTGATCTCTCCCCTCATTTTCTCCCAAGAAGTATCTTCTGGAAAGAGAAACTCTGGGGTAAAGCATTTCCAAATATCATTCCTTCAACTTGAGCTTTACGAAATATCTCCTTAAACTTGGAAAGAACATTAACACCTACGTGCTCAGATGTGAAGGCGATGAGCCTGGGGACGGCCGCCATTCCTTTCTCCTTGACTTCTGGGAACATCTTAAAGCGCGCGATGAGCATGGCATACATGTTAGATATGGCGCCACCTACAGTGCAGAGCAACACAGTTACCTTTCCCAGTCATGGTCAACATCATTCACATGCAAGCAACATTCCTTACGTCCACTGACCTAGAGTCCTCCTTGGACACAAGAGAGGACCGTCCTCCTGGCTGTCCTTTGAGTTGAATCATCAAAGGCACAAGCTAAGAGGGTCCAGAGAAGGAGCAGTCGGCCCAACCCTAGGATGGGGGCCAGCCTTCCACACCCGCCTCAGTGCCTGGGGTAACTGCAGTTGATTCTGCTCTTGCCAGGAGCCCTTGGGAGAGGTTTTTAAGAACTTACAAAGTGTTGCCTTACTTCTCAGCTTGAGAGTGTGGTCATTCTGCATTAAGCCTCTAAAAATCCTACCCATATCCTCATGGAGAAGACATTTCTTTTCATTACAGCTCATGCAAAGCATTGCACCTGGACTGAGGAAGATCAGTTGCTATTAATGATGTGGACTGCTAATGGTCCTTATAGGATGAGGATGAACATCCAAGCCCATTTCATCATACTTGCCTGTTGATTCCCCCCGAATGGTTCTCCTTTTCAAGGACATCATCAGAATACAATTTTAATAGTTAAAATTTCATAATTATAAGAAAACACACAACGAAGGGGACTTTAAGTCCATATTGAATTACTTTTCAAGGGTCATCCTAAGACTGTCAAGGATTTCGTACTGTAGGGTTTGTAGCTTATAAGTAGAGGCTCATTTGATAAGCAAAGAAAAGTGAGCTTTCCCCGAGGATTGTTGGAAAGTTTAGGATTCTTGCTATCCAGGTAAAAGACAGATGGTTTTGAATGCAAATGAACAAGCTGGTGTGGGAGTTGTGAGACCATGAGGCAGAGGGAAGGTATAGTCCCTCCTCCTACCCAAGGGGTCACGCAAGTGCTCCAAGTCCCTTTCCTTCTGGTGGCCGTGGAGCAGAAGGTATCTCTGTACCAAGGGGAGTGGTCCACGCAGGGCCATGATCTCTGCCTCATGAGCCCTGGGCTCTGACGCAAGCAGGCAGCCCTGGCACAGAGCAGTTGTCACCCAGAGCCTGGATCTGTCATCACTCAGAATGAGGGCAGTTCCTACCTCTTCTGGACCCTAGAGACGCGGGACAAATAGAATCCAGGTCAGGCCTGCTCTGAGCAGACACCCTGTCTAAAAGGCTGACTGTATAGGATGCTGTAGGGCGAGAGACCAGCTTTTACGGTTTTTAAAAGCCATTTCATTTCATTTATTTAATTTATTGCGGGGGGAGTTCTTGACTTTTTTTTTAAATGGAGGTACTGAGGGGTGAACCCAGGACCTTGTGCATGCTAAGCATGCGCTCTACCACTGAGCTATATACCACCCCCTACCCGCTGCCCCAAGAGACCAGCTTTTAAAGGAAGTTCCACTCCAGCTCGTGGTTTCTCCATCCTGGCACTCAGGGATATTCTGGGCTGGATGATTTCTGGTGGGGGCGCTTTCCTGGGCATCCTTGGCCACTACTCCCCACCCCAGTGAGTTGTGATGATCACAGTTTTCTCCAGATACTGCCAAATGTGCCCTGGGGGGCACAATAGCTCCCAATTAAGAACCACTGCCCTAGTTCTCTCCAGAGAGGATGGGGAGGAAGGAAGGCAGAAGAAAAAGGGGAAGATGGATGCAAAGAAAGTGCAGTTCACAGTGCAATCATCCAGGAATCTTCCGCTCTGCCTACCCACTCTTCATGACACACCTCGGTCATTCTCTGTCTAAAGTTCAGCAGCCCTGACAGGAATGGGGAGGCCTCTGCGTCCCTGGACAGAGCAGACTGCCTTGTGTAACACAGGCATGAGGACAGACGTATAAGCCCTACACGCTCTCATTCCCCAGGAATCTTCCAGAGAAATGGAGCAAAGACAAGCCCTGAAACATTCTGAAAATCTTGTGGACAGGAAAAGATCTGTGCCTGTGTCATTTCCCCTGTGTCTGCCCCTAAAATCATGACGCTTTCCCCTAGGAATAAGGTAGGATGCTACCTAGAAAGGCATCCATTGGCAAGTGAGGACGCTATGATCCATCTCTTCTCTGTAATGCCTGTTGACAGCAGAGCAGAAACAGGTTGCCAATGACCTTTTCTTCTGTCCCTCCCCGATTTTGCGAAGTTTGCATTACCCTGCAGCATGGCACCTATGGCTTCCATCTTGGGCTGAGAGCGTAAGGGTCTTTGGGATCCAAGGAAGGAGCCCCAGGATCAAGCTGAAGTCTTTTCTACCTGATCATTCCCCATCGTTGATGAGGGTGGCAGCCCATACCTGGCTTAGCAGAACTGTCAAAGAAGATTCTCTGGGTGTGTATTTTCTGGGGCAGGTGGGTTCCAAGACCAGCCAGGTAAGTTAGGCCTGGCCCAGCCCCCCGTAGTCAACTTTCACGGGTCAACAGGGGTGGCTGTCCTCTTCCCAATTCTGGGAACCATTAAAAGAGAGCCCAACGTGCTCCTGGCTCCTCGGGGACAGCTCAGTCACACAACCAACCTTACAAGAGGAGGACAAATAAAGGCAGAAAGAACGTTGATCTCTGAACCCCACCTAATTCCTCATGAAAAATACCTTAAGAGCATCCGTTCCAGCTAATGATGACAAAGTTCCCTCTATCGGGGAAGGTTTTCCAAAGGAACACTAAGTACTCAGTTCCCTACAAAATAAAACTAGCTTAAAATTCATCACAGCTGGTGTTCCGTGACTTAAAAAAAAAAGGGCAAATTTTCCCTTTCATTTAACTAACACATTTTCCTTCAGCACCTGAAAACATATGCTTTATCTCTAGAAACAGAAAATAAAATAGCCGATCTGAGCTTGTGGATAAAGCTGCTTAATTTAAGACTTGTCCTGAGGCCACTGTTACTCAACATCATTTCTTCCTTTTGCCTTTTTATTTTTCTCTCTCCCTCATCATCCCCTTGTGTCTGGAGATTCGCTGAAGCGAGATCGGGGCCTGGCCTTTGCTGTGCCTGACACAACGGCAGGTGTGGCTCTGGCCTCCCCAGTGGGGCCAGTTTGCGAGTCCTGCGCCCGAGGGCAGCGTCCGCCGGTTCAAATGACCCCCCTCCTGCCACTGACGAGGTGACGGTCTGCACGCCAGGTTTCTTTTCCATGGGTCAGTGACTCTCTCTTTTCCCACTGCCTTCCTAACTTCTATTTCTTCTCTGCATCAAACCAAGGTCACACACACAGACCCAGGAGCCAAGGGCAGGACTTTCTGTCTCAGGTTGATTTTCTTGGCTGGAAGAGGTGTAAATAATGCAGCTTAGAACACAATGGCTGGAGATGAAAGGCAGGATGGGAAAGACTGAATGATACCAGAAAGAAGAAAGGGAATGAGAAATCTCTTGTAGAAATCATCACCCTCTTTTTTAGCTCTAAGAAACTGTCTCCCAAGACACTTCCTATCCTCCCTGAAAATAATGTGAATCAGCTTCCCTGCTTGTTAACTGAAAGGAATGGGGTGCAGACACCCTATTCTGTAGCTCTTCCTTGTTACGCACCCTCAAACAGAGAAGGCTTTATAAATGAAGCTACCCTTTTCCTTTCCCTGATTCTTGGGAGTGTGAAATCCTTATTCCCTAATTCCTTTATTAGGAATCTTTATTCCTTTGTTTCACGTGATCCATCCTTGCTATGTGTAGGATCACAGAAGAAATACTGGGTTAATCCCATTGATGCTTATGCTCTTTTTTAAACACAAATAATTAATATTCAAGCAAGGAGTAGCTGGCTTGGAGGTGTGGTCAATGGTCATGTGTACTTAATCACACTCATTTTCTTGATCAACATATTGCCTGTTTAACCTAAGCAGAAATAGAGACTAGACATTTAATCATTTCCACGTTCGTAGTAAGGCATGGCATAGCAAAAGAAAAAAAAACCACAAAGAAAGGTTGAAATATCATATACCAGGAGAAAATATCCCATCGCCAGAGCCCCCTGGCCAGCCAATGATTTCTCTCATCTTCTTTAGCGTGACATATTCCAAAAGCACGAAGACAGGAGCAATTTCATAGGTGAACCTGAAATGTAGTAATGGCCACATTTTATGTATGAAACACAAAGAAATAATTCATCATCACAGTATCTGCAGAACAACTTCCTTTTCCAAAGCCTACGTTCACAAACGTTACAATTATAGCATTAAGCAGAGAGAAAATTAAGTCTTTTAAAAGATTTGCTGAAATGGACACAACACTGTAAACTGACTATACTTCAATTAAAAAATATATATATATACAAAAAAAAAGATTTGCTCAGTTTTCTGTTCCTAAAGTCAAGAGCTTCACTATTGGCTTAATGCACAGGGTCATTTATCATGGTGAATAAATACACTGCAAAGTAACACAGTAACACTATGTAAAGGACAGCATTCAGCCCTGTTTCTTTCATATGATACATAATTATAAATCCAACATGTAAAAAATAAGTCCCTTTTGTGTTTAAACCATGGTGCATGAAAGATCTATCAGGACTCTTCTTTTAAGCTAGAGTGAACAACTCTGAAATTTGTATCATTATTTTAGGAGCTACTTAATAAGGAAGAGATATTTCACATGAGAGGTAGAAGGAAGACTATGGAACTGCATTAATAATTATCCTGGATTACACAGAAACACATTTAGCAACTTACATATTCGTGTTTGCTGTTGATGTCAGCCAGTCTGCTGCTAATCCAACCATATCCAGTCCAGTAGAAAGTTGATTGAAATACCTGGGATGCCCTGAATTAGACGGAATGCCAGGATCAGGATGAAGCCAATGAAAATAAATGCCTCTGAAACACATGATTTCTCCAGCTAAAGAACCTTGAAAGATCCTTCAGTTATAGGAAATCCATACTCAGAAACCTACCACGAACTCACACATACACATGCACACACACATCCCAAAGGAGCATTTCCTTTAATGGGAAGAGACTATTTTGGGTTTCAGTGTTTCTTAAAACACACTCTAAAAATCATCCTTTAAACATACTCTATAAAAAAGTAACAAACATGGTTTGCAACACGGATGCTAATTTATTTTCTAGCATTCTTTCCGTATATTTGCAAATTCAAATGCTGTTGCAATCCAAAGCTATTCGAACCAGGTGGCTTCTTGTTTACACTCATGCTGCTAAGAAATCCTTTTTTGTTGAAGTTGTTCTGGAAATCAGTCATATACCATGACATCCGCCAGGCACGTCAACATTCACAGTAATATCAGTGACAAATGGCTGATGATCAGAAAAGACAAGGCAAAAAAATGAGAAAATCACTCTGTTGAGTGATATGCCCTGGATGCAAAAGGTGATGATTGTCTAAAGGCGGTATGAACAAACCGAATTCTTGTCCATTCTTTTCTGTCTGAGTATTTGATCATAAACAGACCTCCTTCCTCATCGAAATTCAAAATAAAGCTGAATACAGTCAACATCACTGTCTTGTCCACAAGATACATGAAGGTATGTTCGGTGGGCTTATCAGTCCATTAGCAAGGTTTATCTCATTAACTTCTGGATTTCTCTAAAACTCTATCTAAAGGGATTGACACCCAAATACTGCTATGTGACTGTAAAGATCTCATTAGAATTCTGTTCCCTTCTCTTGCCCCACAGAAGCCTATCTATTAATCTGTGATTTACTGAGCAGCAAGAATTTTGGGAGATTAACAATTATGGAAATAGCTTCTGATAAAAAGGCATCCGCCACTTACTGGACACCTGTCTGAAGCCTGGGGATGTGATAGTCTCTCAGGCCAGCATGGACGAAACAAGATAAAGGAAGGTAGTGGGGAAAGCAGAGACAAAAGTCAACACAAAGCTTATCTCCGGGACTGGAGAGCTCTCTTATCAGCCTGCGGCATGCAGCTAGACAATTAGACACCGAGAAAAGACAGGATAGGAGCTGGGGGAGAACTCATCTTAAAGAGACTGGGGGTTGTGCAGGTCTCGCTCATTCTCCGGCATTGTTTCACTGCCCTGTGGCCTTGCACGGCACCCTTCTAGCTTTCGGCTTTTTTGCAGGCCCTCTGATGTTAACCCATCAGTTTATGCATCCATGGAAAAGGAAAAAGCCTTCCTTGCTGTGGCTGCCCTGCCTCTGGAACAGCCCTCCATGCCTCTCTGCCTCATTGACTCCCCATTTCATTAGCGCTCACAGCTGACATCAGAGCCGGCTTCTCCCTCCCGATGCCCCTTTATTTCCCTTTCCATAAGCCATTTCTTTGAAGCGAGGAAATTAATAAGGATTAGCAAATCTACCCGTTAATCAACACTCCCAATTCATATGCATTTTCTGGACGAATCTGTTATCTATTATGACACACTATTTAACTCTATGGAAACTTTAGCATGAAAACCTCTGCATAAAATTGAGGGTCCCAAGACGTGTGTTGTGCCCTGGGTTATCAGAAGGTCAATCCACCGTGATGACTGCCTGTGGGAAACCGTGGAAGTGTGATGCTTCAATGGTTTGGCTTCTTTCTTCTAAATATTTTTTTGACCTTGGTCTATTTCACCTAAAGCTCTCCTGCTCAAATATTTCATTCAGTAATAATGATGTGGAAATATGATGCAGGAAGATAGTTTGACAGATCAGAATATGATTTCTATAAAAATATATGTATTCTCTTCCCATGAACCTACAGACTGCTGGCACATCCAGGTAGGGTGCCCTGAGACCTGTCTGCGAGCCTGCCTGCTGTCCTAGCCCCTCTGGCATCCAGCTGCCATGGTGGCCGCCTGCACCTGGCCCTGTGCTGTGAGCGAGCGCCTCGCCAAGGAATCAGGTGGCCATGCGCTGCCCTGGAGACAGCCAGTTTGAAATGTGAGATGAGAGCTGCTCCCGCCTCTGGAACGCTCCCGACAGATGGGCAAATGAGCCAGGAAGGATGCGCAAACTCTGCAAACAGCCAGCCCCAGGCAGCTCTGACCCTGGTGTCCACAATCCGTTGGGAAGCAGCCCCAGGTCGGTCCAGGCTGCTCTCTCTGGACCAGCAACACACACCCAAGGACGGCCTCGTTTACTGATGCTTCAATTCCTTTGTCGGATGATTGGGTTCAGAGATTCAAAACAACGTCAACCCCTTCACCCCCTCCCCATCCGAAGGACCCCTGCAGATACTCATCATTCCAGAATTCTATCATTGTCTGCACTTTCCAATGTTCTATTCCAGTATTTCTTAGAGGTAATTTTAACAATGCATGAAGACTTCCCCAGTGCCCCTTACTTCTCTCTAAGCTTGGAGCCCAACTGGAAGTTAGGTTAAGAACGCTCAGTAGAAAGCAGACGATAACATGCATTTTATAAAAGAATCTCCCAAGGGACATTGAAATGCCTAAAGGTAGCAGTGATGGCAAATAGTTCACAGACCCTCAACAGGACTAGCTGTCAAATGCAAGTTATAGCCCGAAACCAATACACCTGCCAGTCAAAAAGGAAGGTGACTGCTGCTAATGATTTGAAATGCTTTTGGAGGTGGAGGGAAGGACCAGATTACACACATTATGAATGACAGTAATACCAAATTACTACTGCTATGCCTTGGTCAGAAATTCAACTTAATCATATTCTTTTCCCTGAACTTTAAGTAAAATGCATTAGGGCTACGCTGGCCAACAGTTTGACAAGCACTATGGCAAAAGTCTAAGTATTGAATCGGCCCATCTTTTCCTGACACTAAATGGAACACTGACGGACAGAACTATTAGTTTCCCTGACCAGCAGTTCCCATTATCTTAACTGTTTAAATTGCATTTCAGACACCACCAGCTTTTAAGGGCGAAGATGGGAAACATTTTTATAGATTTTTTTTCGGTTTGGTAGCAATAAAAGTAATAGGTAGCAATTTACTCTTAATACATTTAAATATTAGATTGGGCAACAGGTCAAACAAAAATGAATTAAAAGCATTGCCCAGGTTTGCACCTACAGATACACGGAAATCTGGAAGGGAAAATATCTTTCATGCCTAGTATATACATCACGTGGATTCTCTGTGAACATAATTCAGAATGAAACCTAAAAAGCCTTAAGAAATCATACTCCACAGACTGAGCTTGATAGAAATCTCCAAGTTCAATTCTTTTCCTTATGTATCTAATTCTAAATCTGTACTTTCACAAAAGTGGTTGATTATAGTAACGGGAAATCAATTTCCCCAGGCTTCTTCTATGCACATCTTTCCTCTCTGTCGGTATGAAGAACATGCAGAAGCAAAAATCAAAACCCAAAAAAGGGCTAAAAGTCACATAGCAAACATTCTTAAAATTTGTTGTTGGTCAGAATGATACTGATAATTCATTAACAAAAAACTTGCTAAGAAAAAGATCTAGGTTTCTAGGGTAATTAATATTTTTGTGGTATTTTACATATTGCTTTGTTAGCAAATCTTTTTAAAGCTACAAATCAATTTAGATCCACAAGTTTGCCCCTTTCCCCTGAAATTCATTCATACTTATTTTTATTGCTTTAATGAAGTGTAGTGCCACCATGTATCAGGGTGATTAGAGGCAAAGTAGAAAAGGAAGGGGTAATCCTGACCTGGGGAGATGAAGAGCTGAATTTGTGTAGATAAAATAAAAGCTTAGAATGCACCCACATAAATGTTACACCCGGGGCTATAAACTGGATAGACTATGACGAGTATGATAAAAAAGCAATAAACAGAAAATACACTAAGAAATTTTGTCCCTAAGGATATCTGATTCCCCTCTCTCCCTTTTTCCTTTCTCTTGTATAAGAGTGGTTAGGAAGCTCGCACATCCTTGTATAACGAGGCTGAACTGTTAAGCTAGCTTGTATTATGTTTTCTTTTGTGTACATTTCTTTAAAAACAGAGGAAAATCCGGAGTTTGAATCTGAAGTATTGGGCATTTTAGACAAGGCCAAAATATCATTCCTCTGGTTTGATGATTACACCAGGTGTAAGTTCAATTTCTGACCATTTCTACACCAAGGAAATACCAGCACTGCTCCGGTATTTGGGCTTTTGTCTGGATCATGTTCTTTGGTGCTTTCATTTTCCAGAATCCCTCTCTTTCTCTATTTTGGGTCGCTTCGACTGGCCTTTACTGACAAATGGTTGCTTCTACATTAGTGATCAATTTCCATGGCCAAATATGTGAAATGTAAAATCTGGTGATTTACACTTAGATAATGTCTCTGATATTAACAACTTCAAAAGCATGAACACTAATGGTAAAATGTTAAACATTCTTATCATGATTATTTTTTAAATGATGAAAATAACGGTAAATTTGAAAAATATCACTAACCCCATAAACCAGAAAACATTTTTTCTAGAAAAAATAAAAACTATAAAAGAAAAAAAAGAGCTTTATTATTTCTGACTGGACAATACCTGTTTTAATTGCATATTTTAGAGTTGTTTGGCAATGCATCAAAATTTCCTCCAAATTTTGTGGTTGGTCTGCCAACTCCCAATTATATTCTTGAAGAAGCTCATTAGGGTAATGGAAATCAATCACTTTGGTTGATCTATCGAAACTTTTCACCACATACTGAAGCAAAATGTCCATAACATCTTGCAGAAACGCCAAAGTGGGCCTTTCTCCATCACACGCTGGTAGCAGGTCTAAAGAATGGAATCAAAATGCCACATTTTAATTTAACAATGAAAATATCTAAGCAAGCTCTTCATTTGACAATTTCTCTTTAAACCGAGAGATTTTTAAGTTAAAAAGAAAGTCTTCTGGAAAGGCAGAGCATTTTCTTTAAAGGGGAGGTATTTTTCAAAGATGAAGGAATGGAGGGAAAAACCCCGATTTCTCTCCCTATGCCTAATTAATTTTAATTTTTGCATTTCAGTTCATAACTTATTTGCTTTTTCTTTTATTTTCTTTCTCTCTTTCGGAGCATGCTTCCACTCATCTGTTTCACCGGGGTACGTCCTAAATGTTATTTCTCAATAAGTCATCTTAAATGATTATGGAAATACTTCAGGTCAATAATCTTTGAGGAATGCCTTTAGGGCAAATCAGACAAAGTGGAACATGCAATGTTAGGATCTCTGGCCTATTACGAAGGCCTGATGTTTCCAAAGGCTGTGTGTGTGTGTGTGTGTGTGCGCGCGCGCGCGCGTGCATGCGTGTATCTGCGAGCGCGTGCATTTGTTTGGGTGACCCGGTGTGTAAGCGCAAGGCAGTAAAACCGCGCGCAGGTCTCATGTTAGTTGTTCTCCTGTGAAATCACAGTTACAAATTACTCCCGCTTTAAAGACCTCGAAAGTCTCAGCAATTCTGAACTGGAAACTGAGTCCTACCGGAGGCCTCAGCGGCACCAAGAAGCCGACCTGGAGCTAGGGTAAGCCTGGGCGCCTCGGCCACGCACCGACCCGAGGGCGGCGCTAGGGGAAGATCGCCAAGGCCCTGGAGCCCCTTGGAACGCAGTAGGGGGTCAGACCGAGGGGGTGGGCCCAGCGTGTCTCACTATCAGCTGACGATTCTCCTGAGGTCGGCCTCCGCGCTCCACCTCGATCCCCGGGTCAGGCTCCCGGCGCCGGGACCCACTTGGCCGCGGTAGGCAGGGCAAGGAGAGGGGCAGAGGCTTCGGCACCCCCCACCCCCGCGAGATGCCCTTACCTGTTGCGTGTAGAAGCGCATAGTTGACATCCGCTTTGGGGCAGCTGCAGGGCTTCTGGTTGCAGTTGCAGGCGCAGGCGGCCTTCTGGGAGGTGGCCCGCGGGGGCTGGCTCCCACCGCTCTCCGCTGGCTTCTCCGCGTCTCCGTAGAGCAGGGCTGGGCAAGGACACCGAGCGCGGACCTCGGTCAGCTGCCTACCCGCCTGGCTCCCTCGTTCCCGCCCATCCCTGGCCAAGAATCAAGAATCCCCGACCCCGGTGATGGGATGCGCAGAAGAGAAGGTGGCTTTGTCCCCGCGGGCCCCGAGGAGCCTGGCCACGTCCTCCTCCCTCCACCCGGCACCGTCACTCACCGCACAGCTTGTTCCCGATGCCGCCCGTGAACTTCTGGGCCACCTGACACCAGGCTCTCGCTGCAAGAAAAGACAGGCAGGAGGATGGCGAGGCAGAAAGAAAACAGCAGACGGACATGTGAAATTTCGTTCTTTGTGAAGGACGTCAATAAACCCAGGGTCCGGGAAGGGGCCTCATGGGGCCCAGCACAGCGGGCAGGTGCGGGCGGTGCGCGGGACCTTGGCGGCCTGGCCCGACCCTCGGTTCACTGATTTTTTTCCCAAGGAGCTGCTCACATGGCGACCCTTTGCTTGCCCTCCAGGTGTCAATCCGTCAGGGCAAACCCCCCTTCCTGCCTCGCTCGGGCGAGTTTTCCTAAGACACCGAGGCTGTCCATTTCCTTGCAGGCTCTCCTTCCAGACCAAGAGTTCGTCCCCTTTCCAATATTTCTTTTCCTCACCGCCACTCCGTCCCTCTCCAGGGTCCAGACACCAAGATGGTGGCAGTGCCCCAGGCCCACGAATTCGGTGTCAAGGATATGTCACCGTGTTTGGGGAGGGGGCTCTCCCAGACTTCAGCAGAAAGGGCCAGAGATTCTCTGGGTATCTTCCCAGGGGATAAGGGCCTGTGGGGGTTTTGGTCTCTTGGGCCATCAAGTACCTACCCCCAGGGAAGGGTGAAGCCTCTGAAGTTTCCCGTTGCAGGTGGAAAAACCTTCATCTCCCCCAGCCCTGCAAAAGCCAGTCCACCCGCAAAGCTCGCTTCCTCCAAGTCCGGGTTCTCCTACCTGTGCCGGAGTTCTCGGGATCCCCGGAGCCATCTTCAGATCTGAAGGACCAGAAGCCGGAGCCAGGAGATGCCATTGGTGCTGCGAGACTGGAGCAGGACGCCTCCGAGTGCAAACTGTCAGCGAGCTGCTCTCTGCTCGGCCCCGCGCGCGTGCTTGTGTGTGAGTGCGCGTGTGTGTGTGTGGCGGGAGGAGGACACCGCGGGGGGACCGGCGCGGTGGCACGGCAGAGGGTGGGTGTCACACAGAGACAGGAAATGTGTGTGTCTGCAAGTGCACGCGCGCCGTGTGTGTGTGTGTGTGTGTGTGTGTGTGTGTGTGTGTGTGTGTGTTGGGATTAGGGTTTAGAGACGTGGCAAAGCTCTGAAAGCTTTGGAGGTTGAATAGGAAAGGGAATTGAAGGGTCCTCACAGCCTGAAGATGGGCAAGCGCGGAGCGCCTGAGTGATTTTGAAGGGGAGGGAGCCCAATAGGGATGGATGAGGGGGCGGAGGAGGGAAAAAATGGAAGAGGGAGGGAGCTGAATCGTGAGAGTGCGAGGTAGACAGCATGCCCGAGCTGGAGTCAGTGTGAGTGGGTGGGAGGCGTGCAGGGGAGCCCCAGGGCAGCGAGAGGCGTGAGTGTGCTGGCAGTCCCTGCGGGCCCGGGCGCGCTGTCCGGAGGGCTAAGGCAACTGACCGCCTGCCGACCTCGACAGGGGTAGACCAGAGAGACTTTGGCCCGCGGGAAGGGTGGCCGAGAGAGTCTTAACATTTGTATCTACCGGCGTATTGTTTGAGGTCTGGCTCGGGCTGTGGGGAAGGAGGCGCGTTTCCCGTGCCGCCTTCCTCCAAGAGGGTGCTGAGGTCACGGTGACCCCAGGAGCCCGGCAGCTGGGCAGGAATCAAGAGCGGTTCTCGAGCCCGGGGAGGCTACGATGGGGGAAGGGCACCTGTGCGCTGATGGGCTCAATTCAGTTCCTTAGTAGAGCCTAAATGCTTGCCTACTGAGCCGCGCAGTCCCCGGGAGCGCACCATTTCTGCTTTTCGGAGTGCGTGCCAGCCGAACCCACAGTCCAGGTTGTGACTGACGGATGGGGAGAAAGACTGCTGACTGAGGCAATTAAAATCCATGCTGGAACCTATCACCGAGGACCTCAGGCTGGGCAGAGAAATAAAACGAATGGAAACTTCTTGGAAGAGGGGCTGGGAAGGGCAGCTAGAGCCGCAGGATTGACGGCTGATGGGGTCGGGTCATTTGGTGACTTCGGCCTGCGGAGGCGGGGAAGGGCCCACTGCGTGTGTCACGAGAATCGCTGTGTGCGTGGGAAGCGTGCACCGAGGTTCCAAATAAGCAATCTGAGCTTTCCAAGGGCGGAAAGAAGGCATCGCCAGCTGGGCCCGCGTTTTATTGAGCCTCAAATCAATGACCACCTCCTCCCACAAGGGGATTTACATGATGGGGTGCGGTTGGGGGAGACGGGAGATTATCCCTGTGTCTGAGGCAAGGTGGGAAGGGGTTTTTTCTTTTCCTAAGAAAGTCAATATCTCTCCTCTTTTAAATTTCTTTTCCCTACACGCTGTTAAACAAAGGGAGGGCGCCTTGAAAATTTGGGGCCTGCTGAGTTTGCATAGCTTTCCCTTGGAGGTCGAGATCAGTGTCTAGTACACCTTGCAGCTCCTGGGCACGCAGAGAGAGGGTGAGAAGGACCTGGGTGGCAAACGGGGGCGTCTGGCCTCCCGGGGCGGGCACTCCCGGGCGTGTGCCTTCCCCTTGTGCGAGCGCTTCTCACTTCCACTGTGTTCACAAGTCATTGTTTCTCTGATCTCCGAATCAAGCCACCAAAGCTGCTACTAAAGCAGAGAGACCCACGGGTCCTCAGTCCTGGCTACCATCTCTCGACCCTTCGTTCAGGAAGGGCGTCTTGGGGCCCGGGGCGGCCGCGTACAAACCCAAGTCCTGTGCCCCCAGGCACGCATAAGCCAGGCCAGTTATCTCCACAAAGCTTTGTCCTCTTCCCACGTGCCGGAGCCTGGAGGAACCGTGGGATTTGCACAGTGGCCGCGGACCCGGGCCTGGAAGTAGGGGCGCGGAAGGGCGCTGGCCGAGACCTTGCCGCAGGCTTGACGCGGCGCCGGCTGTGGGGAGAAGTCTGCGCCAGGTTGCGGCCGCGCGGTGGGCGAGATACCAGGCCGGCGCCCCCGGCTCCAATGCTCCAGTGGATCCAAGTAACAACTCCAGGGGAGCAAGGACTTCGTGGTTCCGCCGTCTGCGCCGCTAGCAGGGCGGCTCCGCAGCTCTTGCTACAGCCGTGCAGATACGAGTGGGAGAGACCAGTTCTTTGTTTAAATCCACACCAAATTCTGCAAATATTTCGCTTCAAGCCGGCAGACTGGAGCTGCAGAACTTTTCTGCTCTGGATGAGCAGTCGAAAACAAAAAAGATGCTTTAAAATAAGCGTTTAAAACACAAAGCCACGAAGAAACGGATCAAAATACAAGAAAAGTAGAAATCACAACACCTGAATTTAACAGAATAATAATAAAAAAAAAGAAACAGTGAGATGGCTTAAAATCCTACTCTTTAAACTCCATTAAATCCCTCTACTCTGGAGTATTTTGAATCTAATGGTGGTATTTACATTTTTTATTTAACACAGCGTCTTCAGATGCATGCGGGATCTGATTTGCCTTTCCTTAAAACCGTCCCTCCCTAGACGGCAATTTGCTTTATAAAGACTTCCATTTCGCAAAAGAGCCCACTTCCCCCCCGCCCCTCACAAGGGCTTAGGGTTGGAGATAACAAAAGAGCTCTGGGAGGTAATAATTACAGTCATTAGTTCACAAAGGAGGCAGCCACCGAGTGCGAAGGGGAGGCGGGGGGAAGCTTTCTAAGGCCCTTCCTCGAATGAGGGAAAAGGGACCCACGCGCGGGGGTAGGGGGAGGGGTGCTGCAGCCAGGGCGGTTTCCCTGGCTGACCCATTTCTTGTCCGTGGTTTACCCAGATCACATCGCAGGCCTGCCAAAGAAGAATGTCGGGTACGAAATTTCCCTTGTGTCCTCCCAGTGCTCAAACGTCGAAGGACAAAGAAGAAGAGATGGAAAGAAAGAAGGAAAAAGGAGAGAAAAAAATAAATTCAGGCCACTCTTCTTGCTTCCTCATCTTGGGACTCTGCCCGCACTCTGTCTATGGGGTGTGTACCTACTTTTACTCTAGCCTGTGCACCCAACCCCCAAACCTCGTGGCCTTTCTCTTGCCTTCTGAAACAGCCTAAACTCTATGCACTAGGTACCTCTCTAAATAAATATACCTTTACTCAAAAAAAAAATTCAAAAGAAAAAAGAAAAATAAAAACATTGCAACCTTTCATCCCGAGTTTGCCGTTCTCTTTCCAAGTCCCACTTTAAAAAGAGAGAGAGTGGATTTTAGGGGAGGGGGCAATTGCTTCTCTACCCATCTGCAGGCCGGGTTGCCAGGGCACTAGTCCGCAGGGGCTACTCAGGGAGCTGGGATTGAAGGGGATTGAAGGGTCCTGGCAATGAAGCAGAGCTGTTTCTTGCCCCTAAAGCCTCCTGGTAAGGGGTGCATGGGTGGGTAGCAACGGAGGGAGCCAAGCCAATTAGGGTTACAGTTACTTCTAAACCCCCTACCCCACCCCCTGGGGTGCAGTGCCCTGCAGGGCTCATTTCTTGGGCGCCTGGGCCAGGCCCAGGCTGCAGCTCGCTATAGATGCACCAGGGGTCTGCACCGCCGAGGTGACTCTTTCCCTCTGGTTCTCAATCCCAAGTGGAGGCCGCGGCGTGAACCCAGGTTAAGGAGCAGGACCTGAGCACACTTGGCCTGGGAGCTCAGCCCTGCCACAGCGGGAGGTTTCCCCTTGTGCTGGCCCTCTTTGTAAAAGGACGCGGTTGTGCGAGTCATCGCTGGGGACCTTTCGATGTCAACTGTTCGGGTTGGAGAAAGCCTTACCATCCACTGGGCACGTGGCACAAAAAACAGTTAGCCGGCCACACGGTGCCCTCGAATTTTTCCCCAAGTCTCCTGGCTCAGAGAGGTTAGGCATGGGAGCCAGAAACACCAGCAGAAGGGACAAAGCCCCATCCCAGCCAGAACCCTTCTCCCAACTCAGTCGTCCATGAAACCACCGCACTGCCTTCCATCACCCTCTCCAGGCTGCGTAGACGCAGAGGGTGCCATTTCCATAGAAGAGCTTAACCTGAGTTTTAAAATAAAATGCAGTCAACAGAGGAAGGCAAACGCTGTTGACCCACCACCCTCCTTTCCATCTTAAACACAACAAACTTCTGAGCAGCAGAGATGGCCCCAAATCTGCAGACTAGGAGAATAAAAAATCTGATAGTTTAGCTCAGTGGCTGGACCGGAATTTTTATAGGTGGGGCCAAAGGAAGCCACATTGGGAAGATTGTGTGTGTGTGTGACTGACTGTATGTATGAGACTGTGTGTTCATGTACATGCTGCGTGTTGGGGGATTTGGAGATTTGTGTAGAGTCCACATCTCAAGAACGCGGTTTTAAGTTAGATGGTATATTTGTTTGGGATGGCTGGGTGGGGGTGTTGTTCCCTGATGGAGACAGAAGACACCTGTGTGCTGCCACCTGCCACCTGCACAGCTGGACAGCAGGACCACCCCCAAAGCCATGGACTTCCCAAGGCACTTCCTTTATTTAATAACCTTAATGACCAAGGGAAGGGAAAGCGTGAGTTCGGGATGAAGTTCATCTTCAAGGCCCCCCTCCCCTCCTCCCACCTGGCCTTTGTTTTATTCTCACAGGCTCAGCCCATCTGCGAGGGTCCCTCAGTCCTAGCAAAGCCGTTTCCAAGAAAGACGAAATCTTTGAAGTCGCCGAAAATGAGAGAGACAGGAGGAGTTGGCGAGAGCTCAGGTGCAGTCGGGTCCACGGGAAGAGTCGCAAACAAGTGAACGAGGAGACACAGCGGGCCAGGGCCAGGGACGTCCAAACTGGCGGGCTGGTGGGAGTGGAGGATGCGGGCGTGAGGAGGCTCGGCGTCAGAAGGGCTCCCAGTTCTCCGTCCTCCGAGCACCAGAGGCTGGCCAGGGCGCTCGAAAGGCGAACGGAGCGCGCAGCCCCTGCCAATGTCAGGGCCACAGCCCCAGCGCCTCCCGGGGGGGCCCCGCCTTCGT